ACGGCGAAGGCCCACGGCGGCTGGCGACGAGAAGGAAGGTTTAGGGTTCGGAGGAAAGAGACGAATCCGATTCGAACTCGAATCCAACAATTTCCAAAAAGAATTAGCCGATGATTCCAAAAGAGAAAAGGTAGAGGAGATCCCGGAGATTGTTTCCCTCTATCAATTCGGCCGGAGAAGGAAAGGATCGACCGAATTTGGAAAGGAACGGCGGCGGCGCGAAACTAGGGTTTCGGGCGGCGGCGGCTGGAGGTAGACGACGACCCTGACAGGTGGGCCCCACCTGTCAGCGGGCGGACGCGCGCGCGCGCGGCGGACTGGGCCGACTTGGGCCGAGGAGAGAGAGAGCGGTTTTGGGCCGACTTTCGGCCCAAAGCCAAAAGAAGACTTTTAAAACCTTTTTCAATTTAAATTATTTCTTAAATGTAATTCCATTTATTAAAAATACTTCCTTAGCTCAAATAAATCCCAGAAAAATCTAGGAATTATAGAATTAAGCAAAGTATTTAATGAAATTTTATCTGGCCCCATTTTATATTGGAATTTATTAATTAAAATTAGATCTTCTCTTCTAGGCTTTTAAAATAAATTCTAATAATTCCAATTAAACAACAATTTATATATTTAGGATTTTTAGGGTGTGACACCGTGCCCCAGCCGCGCCGCCTCGTGGCCGTTCGATCGGCTTTGGGCCGATCCGGGCCGTCGGTTCCCGTGGACCGGCGGTGGGCCGCCTCGGTGGTCCCGGTCCACGGTGGACCGACGCCCTTGTGCCGCTGACCGGTGGGGCCCGCTTGCCGGCGCCGCCCCTCCCCTTTGATGACGTCAACAACCCTCTTTTCCTTTGGAAAAATAAATAATAATTGCGCAATAAATCGAGTTTAATTCTAAGAATTCATTTAAATGGCTCAAAACTTCTAAAATTCATATCTAATTCATACGAACTCCAAATTGGGCCATTCAACTTGCAAAATTCATCTAAAATTGAGCTCTACATGTTTGTTTACTTTTTATATACTATTTCCTTGGTTTTTATTAGAGTTTTTCCTCGTTTTGCGTGCCAGCGTGTAGAATCCGTCGTTTCGGAAGATCGCGGTCGCAAGGATAAGAGTTCGGAAGATCAAAGTGAAGAAGCAAGGCAAGTCACACATTCCCCTTGAGCATGTTGATCCCAATTTACAAATGTTTTACTGTTTGCAAATAAATATGCATGTTTTGCTAATTACATGGGGTCAGGGTTTTACCTATCTGCTCGCTTGTGCCATGTTTACTTGATATCTGTCCTTTGTCAACCATGGGTAATAAATCGCCTAGCTTGTGTTACTTTGATGACCTAGCTAGAACTATATGCTTAGCCATGCTTAATTACCACTAGCTCAGTTGATAGGACAATTACAGTATTAGACCTTTTAATATCAGAATGAGCTGCGTGCTCGAGACATCTGGCCATGCTTCATGGTCGTAATTATCCAACTAAAATGCGACTGAATGGTGGGCTGTGGGTGCATGGTTTTGCTGGTCGCACCCATGGCAGTTAAGGACCGGTTCGCGGGATGCCCTGGAAGAACTTATCGTACTTACCACAAGCCAGCGTGGGCAACGGCTGGGCTTGTAGTGTAGCTTTCCTCTAGCCAACGCATCCAGGCAAGGGTGGGCGTGATGGAGTTTGGATGGGCCCTGCGACGGCCTATGCGGCTTCCGGATTCACCTAGGCACGAGAAGGGACTGCCCGCTGCCTTGCGAGGAGTGGGGGTGAAACCTGAGGTGTGGTGTGCTTGGTTAGAGGGGGTTATGCGAAGGGTCCTGTCACGGCCTCTTTCCGGTATGTCGTGGTGGCATGTCGGCGCACGGAAACGTGTCGGGAGGCTGTGTCTTGTGGGTACAGTTGTACACCTCTGATCAGAGTAAAACTATTCGAATAGCCGTGCCCGCGGTTATGGGCGGTCGACCAGATTCACCGTGATTAGTCCCATCTTAATAAATCGACCCAATGCACTGTAGTTCAGGTGGGTTGGTTGGGCCTGTTCAACGTGGTGTAGCGTTGATCAGTGGAGATTTAATATTACTTTAATTACTCAACCGTTTTACTGTTTTGCTCAATAAAATGTTTTACAACCGCCTTTATGCAAATAGCCACAAACCCCTCCTTGTATCCCCTTGCACGTCTGCATCGTTGGTGTGGCTTGTTGGGTACGGTGGTTGTACTCAGTCTTGCTATTATTACCCCTTTTCAGAAGTGTAGTGCTTCTGAGCTGAAGACGAAGTTAGAAGACCAAGGCTCAGACCCCAGTTGAGTTTTGCCTGTGGAGTGGAGCTGAAACCCCGCTAGGATCGCCTTTTTCCGCTGCTGCTGCTTTTGTTTCGGTGTGAGGACTAAGTGCCTCTTCTGTAAGTATTTTACGCTTTATTTACGTTTGGAACTGTTTATTACTTGTCGTTTTGTGTACCCTGGCTGGTCCTGGACAGGGATTTAATACACGAAATAGTCTGGAAACTTGGGCTAAATTTCTGGGCGTGACACCGGCCTCCCACTGCTGGCGTCGCCCATGCGCCACGGCTCCTCCCACCGGCCGCCGTCGCCCGATCCACGGTCTCCACCACCGCCGCCTCTCTGCGGTCGCCATCCCCGCCGTCATCGGCCTCCGCAGCCCGGCGCAGCTCGCCCTTACCGTCGCCGTCGCCATCCCCACCACCATCGCCGTCCCCGTCGCCAGCTGACTCCTCGCCAGATCAGGCAGGAGCAGCGCGGATCTAGCAATCACCGTCGCCACCGCCCTGAGCGGCTCCCCAGCTGTCTGAGCACGAGGTCAGCGAGAAGCGAGAAGCCCCGCCGCCGCTGTCCTTGCGGCCGCACGGCTTTGCCGGCGGCCACTCGGGGTGGTGGCGATGTGGAGGATGAAGGTGGGGGAGAGGGAGCGGTCGGGTCGTCGCCTCGCGAGCCACCCCTGGGGGAGGGCGACGTGAGAGGAAAATGTAGGCTCAAGTGCGTAAAAAGATTTTGTCCAGCTCTCAATTAACCAGGTAATAAAGAGAACTTGCTCCCTGAGCAATTGTGTGGCGTGATACATTTCTCCAGTCTGATGACACCCGGATTATTACCCTATCTGCCTATCAACCCATAGATCGAGGCATGTTAAAACATTCGTGGTATGTTAATAAATAATTGACAAAAAAGGTTATATTTTGTTCTAAGGTTTATCAAGTTAAAAGAACTTGTTACTATTTTCTTTATCTTTGATGAGAATGTAAAGTGAGGGTGTGGTCATGGTGCATGAGTGACGAGGGGCCGATCTTGGTTTCAACGTTGTAGTAAAGCATTGCACATTATGGTAAAGCATTACACAAATATAAAGATTTACAAATATTCAAGCTAAAAGTTATAGTAAAGCTTTACACATTAGTAAAATTGGAGTGAAAAAAATAACATGGTATTAATTTTCCATGGCACTATATGTTCTTAATTTAATTATTTTTAGTAACTATAAAATATAAAATTGTGAAATATCGAGGTCAAGAACAATCAAAATTGACAAACTCAAAATAAATGGTAGTTGCAATGGCATGGATCCAATAAACCCAAAAATATAGGGTCGATGCATCGGCTCAAATCGAGCCGATGCTTCAAGTTGCTCCCCGGTGCACAAAAAATCATTTGACAAGAACAAAATCATCCAAATCAAATACCGATATCATTTGATTATGCTATTTACCATAATTTTGAAACACAAAAATCCAATAAGGACATCGACTAGAAGAAATCCCCAAATCAACTGCTCACTGGAAAATCCAATACTCATCTAGGTCGTTGCCGTCGGAGGCCACCACCGGACCCGGTAGCCAAACACTGGCAGGTTGCCCGGAGGAATATGTAGGACTGTGGAGGGAATGTGTTAGCGAGGCACAGCTTCGGGCCTCCCTGCTTTCACCGACTGGCCGAGGAGGAGGAATCGAGGTCGCCATGGTCAGCCACATGGCCAGGGATTGTGAGGGAGGAGAGGGATAATGTGGTGAAGGTTGGTCTCGAGAGGGGGAGACGGGGGGGGGGGGGTTGTTGTCGCCCGCCGATGTAAGGTGGGGGCAACGGACGACGGTGAAGGTGAATAAGCGGCTTACAGAGGGAGCGAGTCACCACGTCGATGGCCGCCGTGTCAGGGGTAGGTGTCTCCTGTGATGGGAGAGATGGAGAGGAAGGGAGAGGTGGAGAGGGAGAGGGAGGTAAAGGAGAGACGAATGGACACAAGAATGATCAAGTAGATAAGGTAGGCGTCGGGTAGTCGCTCATACTATAGGTACTGGTTTTTATTTAGAATAAGCATCTGTATCTGCTCCATGGAGCTAGTTCTATATTTTTTTCCATCCCGCGGAGGTGGGAAATGATCAATAGGTGCCGGCTTTAAATGAGCTGGCACCTATGAGCCGGTACCTATTAGGAGTTTTGTTCTAGGTGCCGATTCTTACATATTATCCGAAACTTATTGAGAATTGAGGACTGTTGGGGAGGGGATCTTACAGGCAGGTTCTTAATTTTTATCCCGCCCAAATACTACTTTTGTATTGAAGGGTTTGTTTGGGGGAGTTTCTAGCTACTGCAGCTTCTCTCAGAATCTCTAGCTCCACCAAACAGTCCAGATTATCACCTAGATTCTAGGAATCTGTAGTTACTTAATCTGGAAATGAATTATAACCCAAAAGTTGAAAAACCAAGCTTCTCTAGAAATTGGCTACCAACCAGCAGATTCTCAGAATCAGAATCTTAAGCTGTCCCAAACAGGGCCTTAATTGCATCCCGCCCAAATGGATTTGGTAAGGAGAGTGTTCGAGAAAAAAAAAAGATTCGGTAAGCAGGAAACACCTAATAGGCTCCGATGTTAAGCAAATCGGCACATATGGTTCCGGCAGGCCTCTATGTGATGTTTGTGTACTAGTGTCTGTACGAGCAAATCATGTGGAATTTTTTTGACCGTATACAAGTAAAACATTATTGAGGCGAGTCATTTCAATTCTCTACAAGATAAAATTCGTTGGTTCATTCATTATTCCGCGGACAAACACTTCACATAACATATGGAAGGAATAAAAAACCACATACACACAACAGCAAACTGGAAAATAATTGATCATCTATTCAGGACTGATGATATATAATACCACCAGAGAAGGCCACACATTATCCTTGAACTGATCAGACAGAGAAAGGCGGTAGGAAAGAACATTGATAACACCATATCTTGACGCTGCAGTAGTGGTGAGACGCCACAATATTATTTCCATCAATTCTTTTCATGGCAGACGAGTAGCATTTGCGACCGATGCTGTACCACGAGCCTGAACATAATGACATAAAATGAATTACTGTTATACATGCCATTACATGCACAGTTTCATTTTCTTCATATAACAAGTAAAGTAAGATGCTTATTATGACATAATAAGATGAATAACAGTTATTCAAGCTGTAGTCCACTAAAATATCATGGTGACTACAACGAAAATTTGTTTAGATTAACAAAAACTAGCTAGGCTATATAAATAGGTAGACCCTATATAGGAACAATGAAAAAAAATAAAATATTAAAATTCCTGCTATCATTAAGATCGTAACCCCTTCATTAATACCGTGTCGGGGGTAGGTATTCCTAACCTCTGCATTAAGAGCTTGATGAAAAATTTCATTTATATTTATTGACACATGGTTGAAAACATTGGACAGAATAAAAAGCTACTTACAGCTTGTGGATTATCTGCAGTATAGATTGCACGAATATTAAGTTCTCGAACAGCATCCTCGCTGGTAGAGCTTGGGTCCGTTGTGAACTTTATACTGCCATGGGCCATTGAAAATTCTCCAGTTCCACCAATAACAGACCACTCACCACTGCTTGCAGCAATAATCCCCATCACCTGAAGTGTGGATCCCTTAAACCTGTTTTGATAAAAAATATAAAGCTTCATATATATCAGAGAAGATTATAGAAGTGACAATGCATACAATTGAACAATTAATTAAGTCAATAAGGTACTCAACACTATAGCAGGGAAATTTAAATTATACATCTAGTTATGCTAGCATAAATTTCAACCTGTCATCCTGGAACACAATGTTGTGGGAAGTGTACCACATGTTAGCATTGCTTTGGCCAGCCTGGACATGCATGCCTTGTACACGTGCAACGATATTATCATTGGGATTGGTTGTAGCTGTTAAATACCAGTCATCAACGAGTGTTGTACCGAATCCATTAGGATAGCTCGAGGCTATCACAAATTCTTCATTGCGGTTTGGGTGATTTGCTCCAGCAACAAACTGGTGCAGGTACAAGTGCATGGTAACCTCATTTTGGTCAGGGCAACCACACTCCACAGGACATATATCATAGTAGGTGCTGGCAGCCATGCTCAGGAATGTTGGAAGCAAGAAGAGGATGAAAAGTGCAGAGCTACTGTAAGTAGCCATGGGAAGTATAGCAAATTGTTGATGAGCAGCTAGCAAGGAGAGGGAGAGAGAGCTTGAATGCCAACTGGAGCTAGTTTCTCTGCTCTGTGATGGAGATTAGGAATAGACAATGGTGTATTTATAGGGTGCTATAATTGTTATAATGTAGACCCGTGAATGTTTATAGGGTGCTATGACTGTTCCCCATCGTCCTTTACACCGAAGGGATCAGAACGATTGGCTCACTGTGTACGGGGCCATAATGACTTGATGGAATGCTGAGAATGCCCTTTTAATTTTGTGAAACTACTAAAATGCCAGGCTGTGTTTGGAATCAGCCCCTCTCCATCGTATTCCACGCGCACGTTTTTCAAACTGCTAAACGGTGTGTTTTTTATAAAAAGATTATATACGAAAGTTGCTTAAAAAATCATATTGATCTATATTTTTAAAAAAATCGCTAATACTTAATTAATCGCGCGCTAATGGCTCGTTTCGTTTTCCGCGCTCACCGTTCATGTTGGGAATAACTGATTCCAAACACAGCCTTTGTTACACTGGCAGTATGTACTATGAGTATACTATAGTGCACTACTAGAAAAATGGTATTTGCAGGCGGGCCAAAATGGCCTTCCCAGGCGGACCGGCGTTCCGCCTGTAGGCAATCGCCTGTGAAGATAGATTATCTTCCCAGGCGGGCGGCCGGTCCGCTTGGGAACATGTTCTTCCCAGGCGGCTGGGAGCTAGTTCGAGCCGCGTGGGAAGATTAGTATAGGCCGCCCGCAATGATAGGATAGGGCCGCCAGGGAAAAAAGCACCAAGAATTGAAAATAGCCGCAAATTTTGTATTAATAATTTTTTTCAATAATGTTGCAATTAATTAATTAATTCATAATTAATGATAGTAACTAATGAGCATTGAATACTGACATGTATTGCATTCAAAGTATCATTCAAAGTATTATACAAAAATTTGTACACTGTCGTATGTAACTAATGAACACGTCATGGCATCGCGTTACTCCACTCCCGAAGGGCCTTGAATTCATCGCTTGTAGCCAGGATGCTGTCTTGGTCGAAGTACTTGCCTATGACATGATAACACTCGCGGTGGATGAAGTGGCAGAGGTCCTGTTGTACATTTTTAATGCTTGTATCATCGAATCCTTCTCGACGTTCAATTCTAGGCAACTGTAAACATGAAAGAACGAGAAAACATTAGTACGATCTATAAGGGTAGTGGTTCAATAGGCTTGTACATTGAGTCGAGAGACTTACATCCTCTGCATTAACCCTGTACCTCCCATTAACCCGGAGGTATTCGCATGCATAATACCTGCAGAGGATAGTGCCCCTAGGTTGCTTGTGACACTTCATGTGATTGAAGGAAATAGTTAAATTTTGAAATTTGTAAAACAATTGAAATACATTAAGTGAGATATTAGTATTACGTACCGGATTAAGTGAGATATTAGTATTACGTACCGGCCAATACGTATGTACTAGTAGCTTCTCCCTTGTTTTAGTCTGTTCTCCACCCTTGAACTTGTAGTAATTGTACGCACTGTATAGAATTAATAGTAGGCATGCAAGTATGAGAATCACTTACTATTGCTAGATTAGTAGGCATGCAAGTATGAGAATCACTTACTATTGTAAGATTTGTAGAAAATGTCTATACATCGTGTGAGAATAATCAAGGGGGTCCAGGACCGTCACCACGCCTGCCTTTGGGTCGATAAGGAAACATATGTATTGATCCCTACATATTAATGGCGATGCAGTTAGTCACATATGAATTAACATAGGTATGTGCAATGAATTCTACTTGACTTACTTAAAGTTGTACGCGGCCTTGATGACTCTCTTATTTTGGAAGTGCAAGAAGGCTCGTCCGATGTACTGTGTGACCGTAGTCATCTTTTGCTTGTGCAAGCTCTTCTTGTATTCCGCTATCTCTGCAGGAGTCTTGCCCTTGAGCTGTTCGGAATTTGGTGATAATGTGACAGTATGCTAAGTTTGACAGATCCTTGTTGGATACAGAAATCCGATAGGTTCTCCAGGCATGGATTGCATCCTATAAAAGCATTTCGTTAATAATTGATCACATACTTATTCGTGCAATAAATACAACACTCGTACTCACAAGCACCAAGCAGCAACGTAGTTTACGTCCATCTTATCCCGACGATAGATGGCGTGTAGGTCACTGAAATCAAGCCAGAAGAATCCTTCGCCGGCGAAGACATTTGCCGGTGACTGAATAGTTATGTTAGTTAGGCCTTTCTTGCTGGCATCCATGTACCATGTATGGAGCCTTTTCATCTCCCATGGAGCCTCATCAAGTGCCCAATCCGGCAGAAAAGCTTTGTCAAGTTCAAATTTTTCTAGACAATCTTCAGTCCAGATGTATTTCGGTCCAGATAGTGCAGCGGCCTTTTTCGCATCATCCCCTCTTAGTAGTGCTCTTTCCTTGCCCCCTCTGAAGACGCTTACCATGTATTTCTCCTTGTGTTCATCCTTTTTCTTGGGGTCGTGGCTTCTGAGCACCCTAGGCACTTCGGACTTATCTTTGTCCGTGGCTTCAACAGTGGTCTCCTCAACAGGGTCCCTTGTAGGATTTGGGTCCTCATGGATGGTCGGTTCTGATTCATCCCATTGCAATGTTGGTACGTCTTCTAGCTATACACCGATGGATGAAAGAACTTGCACATCTGGTAGAGCCACATCTGGTTCTTCGACATCCGGTACACTTTGCACCTCATGTTCTTTATGTGGCAAGTCAGGTGTGTCAGGCCCTTTAGTTGGCAGAGGTATCTTAGCCTCTTCCGCCTTGTCCTTCAACGATCGATGCTTAGGAGGTCTCGGTGGTTTTCCAGGACCAGCGGCGACATTGCTAAATATGATATTCTTTTTGTGCCATAGAATGACAAGGTCGACCACATCCCCAAGTACTGTGATTCCATCATGTGTTGGGATGTCTAGGTCGTACGACTCGAACCCTGGATTCACCTCTTGCGGCTGCACTTTCGCATATGCAGATTCAATAAATCCGCCATGGTAGTTTCTGCCAGGAATAGCAATTCCCTTCGCCGCCTCAAGTGTCCTCCTAGCGCGTCCAATTGGGATGTGCAACCGGCAAGGTTTAGTCTCTTGTAAATCCTCGAACGGATATTCTGGCTCCGGTTCTTTGGGATCCTGTAGTGGAATAGAATATTTCATGCAGAAATCTATCATTTCTTGTTCAAACCGCTTACCCCCCTCGTCCCTCAACTTTTCCTTGTAGGCGTCATGTTTCTTTTACGAGGAGGCGTCCTGTTTGAAGCCTTCTTTCCAACTCAGCTTAGAGGATACGCCTCTAACCCAGCCTCCGTGCTCACGGTTCCCCAGTGCCTGGCTTAGCACATCCTTCTCCCTCTGTGGAGTGAATTCTCCTTTCTTTTCCTTGGTTGATAGATCATCTATCTTGTCGGCAACTACCTGCAGCTCAGGGTCTTCAAATTGCACTTTGCCTTCCGCAGTGATCTTCGGTGTTCTAGCTTTCATCCATTGCTTCGATCGTACGTTCCAGTTTTCCATGGGCACCGGAACCCCCATCCTCTTCATTTCCTCCTCCTCTTTATTCCATTGTTCTATCTTGGGTGCGTAACCACCGGAACCTAGTCGATGGTGCCATTTGTTACGCTTCGCCAAGTCGGACATCACTTTACTCTTCTCCATTTCTTCCTTGGAGGTCTTGAACTTAACGAATTCGTCCCATTGCGACAGCGTTATTTTCCCATATTTCTTGTATGGTGTCTTGCCCTTCTTCACGTAGTTTCTGTTTAAAGTGTTTTTCCACCCACGCCATGCCTTGTCCATTGTTTGCAATGCGCAATTCCTTGCCATTGCTTCAGATCCGTCAGGGAACTGGAACCTTTTCTTTATCTCATCCTACAGAAGTTTCTTGTCCCCTGCTGGCACTTTATCCCAGTCCTTGTAAGTGATTAGGATCTTGTCCCTTACAATTACCCCACACTGTGAGCTGAACTTTGCGCGTGCAGTGGCGGGAGCGAGAGGCTCCCCTTTGGGACTTATGTGGGTGATGACGTACACCCCGTTGTTTATCTTGTTGATGCTCCTCTCGCCCTTTCTCCTTTTAGGAGACTTTGGTTTATTCTTGGTGTCAGAGGTCGTAGCTGGGACGTCTTCGATTTGGGTGGATTTTTCGGCTCGGCGTCTAGATCTGCATGGGGCCTTTTCCTACAAAAATCATGAATTAGTACTTTCAAGTCAAACAATGAATTAGCAACTCAAACGAATATGACGGAAGACCCACCGCTTTCTTAAGGGGGACATAATCGGCGTCGTCTTGTTGGCCATCAACTTTTCTCCGCCGTTTAGGGCTTGGATGTGGGTCACTTGGCGAGGAATATTTGCCGGGCTCGTCAGAGTCGTCACTGCTAGACCCATCGGCCGGTGGCCTGGTCGGTTGCGAAGCAACCACAATAGCCGTTGACGCCTCCACGTTCGGTTGCGAAGCAACCACAATAGCCTGTGATGCCGGAGGAGAGGCCTTATCCTCATCTCGTTTCGCACTATCTGCCATCGTTCTATATTATAGGAATGACAATAAAAATTATTTAATGTGCGTACATATAAAAGAATTTGAATTTATTACTAACTCAAAGTCATATAAAAAAATTAAAAATATCTACCACTCGGACAATGTCATATAACCGAAATCTCATATCAAAGCACCATCATTTAGCATTAACAGAAATGTCATATAAAAGCACTATCTAAATGTCATATCAAAGCACCATCGTTTAGCATTAACGAAAATGTCATATAAAAGCACTATCTAAATGTCATATCAACCGAAATGGCCCGAAAATGTCATATAAAAGCACTATCTACTCGGACAATGTCATATGAAAGCATATAACGAAAATGTCATATACAAGCATTTACTGAAAGTCATATAAAAAAATTGAAAATATCTTCCCAACATGTTATTTAATTAAAATTGAACGAAACGAAACCGACATTTCCTACATTCAACACATTCATCCTGCATACAAAATTCACCCTTATATATCACAAACAAAACCCACATTTCCCCATTCACATGTATGAGCACAT